GACAAGCTTTGCCCATGACCGGTAGGCCAGGAGCACATGCCCCACTTCCCCTGGCCTCCTCCTCCTTACCCTGCAAGTTCCAGCTTCAATAGCCCCTAGAGTCACCCATCCTGACCCCACCCCGCCCACTCCACTATCAGGTTTCCTCTAACACCCCATCCACTTCTATCTGGAGTCCTGGAGTCTTATCACACCCCAATTATCTATTTCCTTATCTCTGAGCTCCTTCAGGGTAGGAAACAGATTCTTCTCCCCTGGGATCCCTGGGCAGCCCAGTACCTGGCACATAATAGCAGCTGAATAAATGTTTGCTAAATAAAAAGTTGGGAGAGGGGCCGGCCCAGTGGCGCAAGCAGTTAAGTGCACATGCTCCGCTGTGGCGGCCTGGGGTTCGCCGGTTCGGATCCTGGGCGCGCACCAACACACTGCTTGGCAAGCCATGCTGTGGCGGCATCCCATATAAAGTGGAGGAAGATGGGCACGGATGTTAGCCCAGGGCCAGTCTTCCTCAGCTAAAAGGAGGAGGATTGGCAGACGTTAGCTCAGGGCCGATCTTCCTCACAAATAAAATAAAATAAAATAATAAAAAATAAAAAGTTGGGAGAATTCATCTCTTTCCTGACCCTCACCACAGCATAGACCAGTCCTAGACACCCACTGCCTTCAAAGAGACAAACAAAAATATGTGCCCACTGAGTGCTGTGTGTCCCAGGATAAATCACTTCACCTTTCTGCACCTCTTTTCTCTTGTGTAAAATGGAGATAAATACAGCACCACCCTCTAGGGCTGCTGTGAACGTGAGCAGTGACGACAATAAAGCACTATGCACAGTGCCTGGCTAATAGCAGGCACTCGATCACGACGGCTGCTATTACTGGTATTTTTTTTTAATTAATATTACAGATTCGGATTAGCAAGCTGAAAGGAAGATTGAGTCCAACCTCCATCCTGAACAGCCATGGAAACTGAGGCCAGAGAGGGGAAGACTGTCTGGGTCACACAGCAAGTGATGGCAGAGTGGGGACTGGTTCCTTGGGAGGCTGTGGTGTGTACAGCAGGGGGCCCTCAAGGTGTGTAGGGGTGGTAAAGGAGAAGGGGGAGCCCTGGACCTCGAATCAGATGGCAGTTGGAGTCCTAGGTGGGCCGCCAGCTGGCTCTGTGACCTTGGGCAATTCTCTTCCCTTTTACAAGAGAAAACCCTCCCAGCACTCCTCACTGTACAAACTTCCCCTGGTTTATGAGGCCACCTGCCTCTCCCTTTTCAGATCACTCAACACATGTTACTTAACTACCTGCTTTACAGTCTATCATCCTGGCAGGGCAGGGGCTGTGTCCCAGTTCACTGTGGTGTCCTTGGCACAGGGACAGGCACAAAGGTGCTCAATAAAACTTGAGTGTATGAAGGAGCTCAATAAATTGTTTATTGACTAACAAATTGTCTATTATCTGTCAGGCACCCTACACACTTTATCTTCAAAATAGTAAACATTATCCTCAAAATAGTAAAAATTACAATTAAGATGTATTATGCACCAGGCTTCATATGCATCACCCCACTTAATCCTTTCATCAGCCCTATGAGGTAGGATCATTTATGATGTCCATTTTACAGATGAGAACAAACCCATACTCAGGTTGAATCATTTGTCCAAACTCATACGGCTAGAGAGTGACTTTGGATTTGAAGCCAGACCTGCCTGACTAAAGGATGTTCTCCTATTTGCTAAGCAGCCCTTATAAGAGTGAAAACATTTTGACATTTGTAGGAAACATTCCCAAGCCATAGGGGGGCGCGTCACTCACACTGGTAGTACTCGACCTGGCCGCTCTGCAGAATGATGGCCAGCACCAGCGTGAGCTGCGGTGTCGTCTCCAAGAAGGTCTCGAAGAGTCGCAGCATGCTGATGTCCAGGGAGAGGAAGTCGGCGTAGGCCATGTCAAAGTCGGAGGGCACCTCCTGCTGCCAGACCAACAGCCCCTGCCGCAGCCCCTGCACGCACCTAGGCACATACAGATGCCCCAAGGGGCCAGGTTAGTGTCCTCGGCTATTCCTCTCTCCCCTAACCTATCGGGTGGATGCAGACAGCCTCCAATCCTAGCTTGTCACTAACATGCTGTGGGGCCTTGGGCAAGCGACTTCACCTCACTGAACTTGCTTCTTCATCTGTAAAATGGGGATAAACACAACTACTGCTGGCCAGGCAATGTCCCAAGCTCATCACAAATCTTGTCCCCTTTACTCCCTACAACATCCCGATTTTACAGATGGGGAAACAGCACCAAAGAGCTAATGAGGGTGGAATCAGGATTTGGATCCAAAGCTGTTTGAATTTGAAAGACATATGAAATTGCCTAAGGTGCTAGTTCTCAAATTTTAGCATGCTTAAGAATTTCTTGGGATCCTATGGGGAAGGGGAGCCATTGAGAGCTTCTAAGCATAGGCAGATAAGTCAGATTGTGCTTTAGAAAAATCACCACAGCTGTGGAGAGGAGGAAGGGTGGGAGGGGTTGGATTGGAAGCAGGGATCCATTTAAGAGGCTATCGTAACAGTCCAGGGAGAAAGCATGAGAGCCTGACCAGAGTGGTGGAGACAGAGACCAGGGCGGAGTCAAAAGAGTCCAGAGTGGACAGACAGGCCTGGGTGACCCCCTGGCATGAGGCAGGAATAGAGGATGCACCAAAGTCTTGCCCACTCAGAACTGATCTCAGTTGGCCACAGGAAAGGGAGCCCATATACTCACTGCAAATTCATTCATCATTGGTTACTGACACTTCCCCTGAATGGACTTGACAACACACTAAGGCAGCAGGCAGGCAGGCCTGGGTCAGGGCTCTCTCTCAGCAGAAGCCTCTGCCTCTGGTCCCCTGCCTCAGCCTAGTCACAGGCAGGAACAGAGACCCTGTTTCTAAACCAAAGCTCCATATAGTCTGTCTGCCTCACGCTCAACAGAAATAGGGAAGGGAGGATGCGTGGCGTAGTTGCGGATCTCAGGGCTCACTGAGACCTGCCAGGACCGTAATAACTGTGCCCCTCCCTGCCCACCCCAGGTTTAACTGATGCCCGTCCGGTCCCTCAGACAAAACTGCAACATTCAAAGCTCCACTTGTCCCTCCTGGAGAATCGATGCAGCTTTGTCAAGGCAAGATCTGGACAGAAATTGTAAAAATGCATCCAAGAGTGAATCCTGGCTCCAGCCACCCCATCCCAACCCAGACCACACCACGTCCTGACTTCGTCACAGGACTGACCCCTGGCTTTCAGTTTCCCCAACTCTATAGGGCCCTGCCAGTTCTGAAAAGGCTGGCTCCAGGGACAAGGATGAGTCAGACCCCATCTCTGCCCTCTTGCTCAGTCTGGGGGTTTTTGCAGGTCTCATTTTTTTCAGTCCTCATCAGAGGCCCCAACTATGACCATCCCCACCGGAATGGGGCGGGGAGGAGGGGGACGGCGGCGGGGCGGGGGTTGTCAAGTGACTTGCCCAAGACTCCACCCACAGCTAAAAGAACAGCCTAGTGTTGAACCGAGTCTGGGGGTCTTTGCCATCACAACAGAGTCCAACATGTGCCAAGCGCCGGGCTAGGCGTTTTCCCTCTCTCCTCACAACAGGCCCGCCTGCCAGCCCTAATCTAGATTACTACTTCCTTTTAACAGAGGAGGAAACCCAGGCTCAGAGAAAGGCAGGAATGAAGCCACAGGCGAGAAAGCCAGGACTGGATACCAGAGAGGTCTGACTCCAAACCATGAGCCTCCCTTTTTTCTCTGGGCCTCAGTTTCTTCCCCTGTGCCAGGAAGAGCAGGGCTAGATGAGCGCTGAGGGTTGTCAGCGGGAGCTCTCTCTCTTTAAGGGACGGAGAGCTTACCTGTAGGTAGAGGTGCCCAAGGGGCTTAGTTTCCTCTCCTGGGTCCTGGTCCTCTCCTCCCCACCCTCTTCCCAGCTGCAGGAAGTGCCGCTGGGCTCCGTTCCCCCTCCCTCCTTCCGAGGGCGGGGCGCTCACCTGTACAGGTAGCCCAGCTGCAGGAGATGCAGCAGCGCCAGGCAGCGGCCCGGGGGCTGCGGAGCGTGCAGGTCGGCGGGGTCGGCGCGCAGCCAGACCCAGCTGAAGAGCTGCATCGCGACCGAGGCGAGGCCCAGCAGCGCCAGCACCAGCGCGGCCCACAGGTAGCGACCGCTGAGCACGTACTGGCCCGCGGCCCATAGGTCAGCGCCCAGGTCGATCAGGAAGGCGGCGGTGCCCAATACGCCCAGGACCAGGTCCCTAAGGAGCGCGGCGTGGGGTGACCAGGGCATGACCCACCAGCCTCTCCCCCTCCTTCTCTTCTTCGGCTTGGACCCGCCCTCCGGGCCCCGGGGTCTTAGCTGCAGGAAGGAGGCGGGCACAGCCCTCGGGGCCGCCTAGGGCCGGGGCCTGCTGGGCGGGACTTCCCTGTCCCGCCCTGTCCGGGGAGGAGCAAGACTCGTGTACCTCGCGTCTGGGTTGTCCGTGGTCCCCCACCCCCGTCCTGCCGCGTCACTGACGGACTTGCGGGGCTCTGGCCCTGCATCCTGCCCTGGGATTCCCCCCACTTAGCCCTCCGATCCCCGAGGACCGCTGGGCCCTAAGACTGACCGTCCGAGGCGCACCGCCCTTAGCCTAGCAGGCTTCTAATTGCCTTGTATTGCATTTGACCCTCCTGGAGGTCCAAGACAGCGAAAGGGGCCCAGAAATTAGCGCCGGCGCTAGAACTGCAATCCCTTCACATCTGCATTGTTGCAAAACAAAACAACAAAACAGAAAGGCCTGTCGCAAACTAGGTGTGCCTCAAGTTCGGGCCATGGGCACAGTACTGAGGGCACAGGACCAACAAGGCGCATCTCCTTGGTGGCTCATTTCGCTCTGATTATCCGCTCGAGGAGGAGGGGAGGACGTTCAATAGCTGCAAGGGAGTTGCTTTAAACGTTATGTACATATTAAAAGGAATAATGCACAGAATAAGATGCACGGTGAGCATTGTTTTTCGGATAAAACATGAAAGAAATGTGCTTCTGGTGGGGTCTTTGGTGCTTCATTTCCTGATCCGGCTGTCCCATCCCAGTTCACTCTGCGGGGGAAAAGGAGGAAAAGCCCAGCTCTCGGGGTGACGCTGCCCCCATTTACCACCGGGAAGACGAACTCAGCGTGCCAGCGGGCGGCGCCCAAGGTCACGGCGCGAGCAGCGCGCGCAGGCCCAGCAGCGCCGCGAGCAGGAGCGCGAGCCTGGGCGCGGGCGCGGCGCCGGGGGCGCGCAGGCAGGCGTAGTACGCGTCGAAGGCCACCTCGCGCAGCGCGCACACGTGCTCGGTGCGGCAGGCCTCGCCGCAGGCCTGGGTGTCGTAACTGACCGAGTTGTAGACATAGTAGCGCTGCAGCGCGCCCTGGTCGCTGGCGATGCGGCCCAGTGCCGCGTGCATGGAGCGGATGCTCGCGTTGGGCACCCCGTAGGCCTCGGTCACCCGGTACTCGAGCTCCCAGCTGGGCGCCCCCTGCGCGTTCGCCTGGCTCAGGTTCACGAAGTAGGTCACCATGTCCTAGAGAGGGGGCGCGAGGCAGGCCGGCCATGAGCAGCTGTACGGTTCCACCCCAATCCTGTACCTTGCATTTGCCCCCAAATTCTCTATAGCCGTAATAATGACCACTATTAGTTACTGAGCATTTACTACTTACCAGGTATGCTTGGCAGACATCCTCTGATTGAATCTGATGAGGTAACTGTGCTTATTACCCCCATTTCACCTATGAGAAACTGAGGCCTAAAGGGGTTAATGCCTTTGGCCAGGGTCCTACAGGTGTTCAGTGGCAGAGGCGGGATTGGAACCCAGGTTGTTTACCCCATGGCCCGTGCATTTTCTGTCCCAGCAAGCACAGAAAATGCTCAGTAAATATTTACAGAGTGAATGGATAAAAAGCAACTTAAAAGAAGTGGGACAGAGTGCCTGGCTGAGAGAGGTTATAGAATTGTGGTTGATGGGGGCTTGGGATACACCCAGGACCCCCTAGGACTCAGGTGCATTTTCAGGACTAGAATCTGGAAAGGTTTATCTGTCCAATAATATCCACTTGAATATATGGACCTGCTTCAGGGCGCTAGAGGTGGGGTAAGAGGAGCTGCCATGTATGGATGACAGCTTCCTGCTGGGCACATGACATTATTTCAGTTAGTCCTCCCCACCCCTGTGAGGTACTGTTACTCCCATTTTACAGACGAAGCAACAGAGGCCCAGAAAGGTCAAAAAGCTCATGAGTCCTGAAGCCAGGATTCAAACCTACGTCTGTCTGACTCCCTCCCTGAGAAGGATGTAGGGCCTTCTGCGTGCCCATGTGGACAACTGGCCATACTCTAAAAATCCTCAGGCCTCGTCTCCATCCACATTTACTCTGGAACAAAGGACCTGGGTTGTCTCCTCCAGTCCCTGGTTTTAAATGGCCTTTCTCATCAACCAGATTAAGTCTCTATACCCACCTCTTCCTGGAACTCCAGCTTGAACACCCAACTTCCTCTTCCCTCGGCATTTTCATTTGGATGCCATTTAGACATCCCACAGTGAACAGGTCCAAACCAGACTTCTGATCTTCCCTCCAAAACCTGCTCTTCGACAGTGTCCCATTTCAGTGAGCGGCAGCCTCATCCTTCCAGGTGCTCAGGCCAAAGCCTGGAGTCCTCCTTGACCCCTCTCTTGCTCTCACACCCTCATCCAATCCACCAGCAAATCCTGTCCGCTCTGCCTTCGAAATACGTCCAGGATCTGGCACTTCTCGCCACCCCACTGCTGCCACTCTGGCCCCCGCCACCCTCCCTTCTCAGTGGTTCCTGTGGTGACCTCCTCACCGATCCCCTACTTCTGCCCTTGCCCCCAACAGCCTGTTCTCTGCACAGCAGACATGGTGACTTTGTAAAATTGTAAGTTAGAATATTTAATTCATCTGCCCCAAACTCCCCAAATGCAGAGTCCTAACGATGGCCTACGTGATCTGACCTCATCCCTCCCACTCTCCCCTTATCCTTCCACCGCGGCCACACTGGTCTCCCTGTTCTTCCTCTAACACACCAAGAACATCCCCACCCCAGGGCCTTTGACTTGCTCTTCCTCCGCCTTCCCCTGATGCTCACATGGCTTGCTCCCTGAATTTACTCAGAATTCAAATGTCACCCTATCAGGGACACTTCCCTGCCCCACCTACCTAACAGCACACAACACACCCTGTAACCGTCACTACTTGTCTCCTCAGTGTGTTTTCGTTTCTCCATAGCTCTTCTCCCTGTGCCATACTTTACTTACTCCTTTATTGTCTGTCTCCCATAAGAAGGTCAGATCCAGGAGAGCTGAGGCTGTTTTTGTTCACTTATGTATCACCTGAGCTTAGCACATGGCAGATGCGTGGTACATTTTGTTGAATCAATTAAGGAATAATATTTCTTTGTCATTTCAACAATCACAAGCACATCTCAGGAGGTGAGGGATGGCTCGATGCCTTAGGGGCCTGCTATGGCTGGGGCCTAGTTGGTGTAGGGAAGCAGTGGGTAGTAGGCCCGAGGTCACACTGTGGGAGGCCTTGACTATGAGGTCAAGGAGATCCAACTTGTTTTGGGGGCACTGGGGAGCCATTGAAGGTTTTTGAGCAGGAGAGAGAGAAGTGCTTTAGAAAGATTAACTCTTTCTGTAATGTGTAGCAGATGAGCTACAGCAGGGCAGGGCTAGGAAGCTGTGATCCAGGGCCAAGGGAGATTTGGGGAAGAAGAATTGACCTGACTTGGTGGCAGGGTTGGGAGGTGGCTCTAGGGTTCTGAACCTGAGCTCTGAAAGGATGGAAGTAACTTGAGCTTCCTGAGGCTCAGTGGTCAGCAGAGGGTGGGTTAGCTGGGAGAGAGTTAGGGAAGGCAGTGAGGTGTCCAGGTCCCTCCCCTCCCTCCTCCTCTGACCCCAACAGACCAGGGCTCCTGACCTGCAGGCTCAGCGTGGCTTGGTCGTATTCGAACACCCGGATGCCTGGATTGTTGGCCCCGTTGACCACTCCAGGTAACGTGGTTTTCCATGGGGTGACCCCAGGTGTAATGAACATGACACTGATGGGGGCACCTTTCAGGAGAAAGACAGTGGGACTGAGAGAGGCCGGCGAGAGAAGGAGGGAGGTGCGCTGGCAGTTGCCCTCCAGGTTGAGTACCTGCATCATCATAGAACATTCGAAAGCTGTCGGTGTGGTGGTGCCCGAAGAACTGCCCTGCGATGACTCGATGGTGCTTCTGGACCACCTTCAGGTACTCTTCGTTGAAGCCCTCCCGGAACCATGCCTTGTTTCGTGTCTTCTCAAAGAACCCCGGGGGCACGTGGCCAATAATGTATACCTACGGGGAAGGGGTGTCCAGGAGGAGCTCCGAGATGTCCTCCTCAACCCCTCATTGCCCCCTCTCCAAACCTGCCTTTCTCCCCAAAGGCAAGCAGACAGGCTCAAATGTACCTCCTCCCCCGAAAGACTAGCTCTGGCAGATTCCGGCACTCTCTGTACCCAGCAATGAATGTCCCACACACTTCCCCACTTCTGTGCCTTTGCCCGTGCTATGCCTGCCACCTGGAGTACCTTTCTCATTTTCACTTCTGTAAATCCTACCTGTAGTTCAAAACCTAGCTCAAAGGGCACCTCCTCGTGAAACCTTCCTGATCCTTCGGAGACTAGTCTTCTCTCTTGGAGAGCTCAGGCCCTGTCACTAAACCTTCCTTGCCTGGTTGTGTAGCACATGCTATGTGGTAATGTGTGTTCACGTCTTACATTGCTTGAGTCACTCAGCTAACAATACCTGGGCCCTTGGCCACCATTGCAAGAGGTAGAATGGGGGGTAGGGGGAGAGCAGTTAAGAGCATGAGCTTTGGAGTCAAACTGCATCTTGGACACCAGCTGTGGATCACCTCTCTGAGCTTCTGTTTTCACATCGGGAATAGCACCTAACTGGTGGAGTTTTCAGAAAATGAGATAATCCATATAAAACACTTAGCAACGTGCCTGATGCATAGTGAGTGCTCAGAAGCACCGGCCGTGAGATTCTGCTGGGATGTGCTGGTCAGTGCAGGACTCAGGCAAATGAGACACAGGGCTAGTCCTCGGGGAGCTGCCAGCCCAGCAGACTAGATGGACCACCTCCAGGGCAGCGCATCCCTTTATGTGGGCTGCAGCTGTGGCATGTCAGGGCAGTGGAAAGAGCACTGGACTTGGAGTCTGGAGACTGAGGTTCTAGTCTCAGCTCCACCACTTATTGTGTGACAGGACGGTCACCACCCCTCAGGAGCCTCACATCTGCAATGGGCTCCAGGGTCCCAGCCTCACACGCTGTTGGCAGGATGGAACAAGCCCCCTCCTGGTGCTGGGTTGATGAAGGACCCTCTGTGATGTGGGCATCTTGGGTTGGGTGGGTGAGTTTGTGCGGAGGCGGCAGACCTGTTCAGGAAGTGACCCCAGAGAGGGAGGAGGAGGTGGCAGCAGCCCTTACCATTTCCCCGGCTCGGGATGCGTTGGTCAGCACGTCTTCCAGCCACTGGAACTGCTGGCCGGGGTCGGCCATGCCAGCTGTCTGCTCATTGTTGCTATAGTACAGATTGGTGTTGAGGACCACGATTCGCCCAGCCCCACTCGGCCCCAGCAACTTCTCAGAATAAAAGGCACCTGGAACATCACAGCCAGGGAAAATCTGAAGGGGTCCTCTGCCTCTGACCAGACACGCCTCTGCCCCCTTCACTTCACTCTCTCACCTTCTCCTTCCCTTGCATCCTCCCTTCCCATTTTTCCCACAGGAGGGGCATCATGAGTAAGACCAAAGATTCTGGAGCCAGGTTGCCTGAGTTCAAGCCCTGGCTCTCTCACTTATTAGCTGTGCAACTTGGAAAAGTTAACCTCTCTATGCCTCAGTTTCCTCCTCTGTGTAATGGGAATAACAATGAGGTGTGTTTGCCCCTCCAGATCCACTGTCAGCCCTTCTCCACTCAGCTCTCTGCTCCAGGAGCTGATCTATGTGAACTAAATCAATAGGCTTCTATGCCATGGGCTTCTGCTTGGGTTTGGCCAATGGGGAGCCCCAACAGCAGGGGACTGAGGGAAAGGGAAGAGAGTAGGTAAGGGGAACCTTGGGCTGGCTGTGTCTCTGATCAGTGGTTCTCAACCAGAGGATCTTGTGCCCCAGGGAATATTTGGCAATGTCCAGAACATTTTTCGTTATTGCAACAGGGGTGTTTCCGGCATCTTAAAGGCCAGAGATGCCGCTAAACATCCTACAGTACATAGAACAGCACCCACAGCAAAGAATTATCCAGCCCAACATGTCAATAGTGGCAAGGTTGAGAAACCCTGCTTGAACTGATGGTCACTGCCCCTTCCTGGGGTTGTTGCGAGAAGTCTAGTAACGTGCAGAGAATAGTGCCTGGCACACAGTACTGATGCTCAATAAATATTCACTTGTGATCCTCATTAGTGCTGTGGGGTTAAGAGCATGGGCACTGGAGTCACCCTGGTTCCTGCTCCCTAGTCTGCCTCTTCTAAGCTGGCTGACCTTGGCCAGTGACTTCGTATCTTCAAGCCTCAGTCTCCTTATCTGTAAAAGGGGGATAAAATCAGTACCTATTTCATGGGAAGGTTGTGAAGACGACATGAGACCTTGGCACAAGTGCTCCTTACAGTAGCAAACGGTGTTAGTACCTTCTCTGAAGAGAGCGATGGATTCGTTACTGAGCCAGGGTCTCCACAGTTCTGCTATCTGATTGTAGATGTTGTTGCTCCCTGCTGGCAACTGGCTTTTGGGGTGAAAGTCATGATTTCCCAAAGCAGCGTAGACTTGAGTGTCTGGGAGGAAAAGGAGAAATATATAAATATGTATGTGAAGGCACTTGGTGGTATTAGCCATTTTCAGTCAGCCGCCGGCCATCAGAGCTAATGGGGAAGAGCGATAAGGGAAAAAATCCACAGATGAGGAAAATAGAGAGATAAGCAGAAAACTACATTTAATAGAATCTGGCTGAACTTTGCTCAGACCTGAGAAGGAAGAGCGGTGAGTTCTCTGATCCTGTCCCTAACCCCATTCCCAGCAGAAAGTTTCCTGGTCAGAAAGGAAGCATCACATGACAAGGAGAAAGCTAGAAAATCTAAATAATCCTCAGCTCCATTATCAGCCACTTGGTAATTTACTGGTCCTTGTTCTCATCAATTCCAAATCCATCATCCGGTTAGGAAAGGGGTCTAATTCTCTCTGGGAGGCCTTATGAGTTTCACTCAATTGTGAGTCAATACATATTTATTGAGCACATGCTACGTGTCAGCTGGTCCACCTGGGAACCAGATACCCAAGTCCCAGTCCCAGAGGCCTTGCGGTGAGGTAGGGTTGACGGGTATTAAGTAATTAGAGGTGGGAGGGCTGTCACAAAAAGGGAAGAGCCGCTTGCTGTGGGATTGTATAACAGGGGTGGGGTGGGGGTCAGGGGAGGCCTCCCTGAGGAAGTGGCCTGTGAATGAGCCCAGGAGGGAGAAAGGAGCCTGTCAGACTCATTTCCTCCTTGTGAGTGCCTCATTCCTGCTTTTATTTTACATTTGTCTGTGTGTGGCGTGTAGTAGTTGCTCAATAAATATTTGACGATAAACAAAAACTCTGAGCTCAGGGCACGGCTTTGTCCTTATATGAGCTTGGCTCACCCCAGAGAGTGACCTTGAACCATGAGGGAGGCTGGAGCCTCCAATTCCCACTTGGGAAAATGTTTGTTAAACCCTTTGCCCAGTTTAGCCTACAAGATCTGGAAATGCTGAGATCTCTGCCAAAGGAGGAGGTTGTAGGACTCCCATCAGCAATTCTTCTCAAAGCCAGAAGCCATCACTGGAAGTGCCTGGAAAAACCTCACCTCTCTAACGTGAATACAGGAAGCCATTAAGAATCCAATTTAAGAAAAAACACAAACCCCTGGAATCCCAAGGGCGGATGAGAAGGAAGGGAATCTCTCCCATGTTTTGCTGCTTCTACGTTCCAGGCACTGTTGGAAGCTCTTTACAAGCGTAAGCTCCATGCAGGTACAACCTGCCAACTTGTTCACGGCCAAGTCCCCTAGAATGGTGTCACACCTATAGTAGATGCTCAATAAATATTTTTTGACTGACTAAATGAGTGACTAGGTTGCCTTATTTCATCCTCACAACAACCCTCTGGGCAGGTACCAGTATTTTCCGCATTTTGCACAGGCAGAAAACAGTCTCCATGAGCTTGCCCAGCTAGAACGTGGCAGAGCCTGAATTAGGACCTGATCTGTTTCCTTTGCACACCTGCGTTCACCACTCGGCCGTGCTGGAGAGGCAAGGCCTGGTGTTCACGGCGACTCTGATGGGACACAAGTGGCGCGTGGCAGGAAGAACACATGACGTGGGACCCCACATCTCCAGTTTCAGTCCCCTCCTGTTCTCCCACAAATTGCTTCAGCTTATTTATCTATAAAACGGGGAGCATTCTGCTTGACGTGTGTTGTTATAATTCCCAAATCAGAAAATGCCTCATTTCGTCTCTTCCAGTTTCTTCTCATTTTAACATCTCTGCAAGTGGGCTGTGTCTTACCGCTGAGGCCGTGAGACAGCACTGTGTCATACTTTAATTGACAGCATTTTTTTCCTTAGCAATACATAAAATGACGCCTCTTACAGTGGATGGCATCTTGGATATGAGGAAATTCAATAAACGTGCGAGTGTGTTATGAACTATAAAATCTCCTAATTCACAGTTGTACGTTAAATCGTAGTAATAGAGCATTTTCTTATCCTTCATTTCACTTTTACTGCAGAAGCCCTATGTGGAATGGAGGAAAGAGTGCTCACAGTTGGATCTGAGTTGGAAATCCTCCCTAGGAACCAGCTAGCTTTGAGCCATAGGTTCCTTATCTATACATTAAGAATAAAGAGACCGGGCCAGCTCCGTGGCTTAGCGGTTAAGTGCACGCGCTCCGCTGCTGGCGGCCCGGGTTCGGATCCCGGGCGCGCACCAACGCACCGCTTCTCCGGCCATGCTGAGGGCGCGTCCCAGATACAGCAACTAGAAGGATGTGCAACTATGACATACAACTATCTACTGGGGCTTTGGGGGAAAAAATAAACAAATAAAATTATAAAAAAAAGAATAAGAATACCTATTGTTGTAGGGGGGGAGTGCCCTGGTTTGACCCTAAGTGGTGACTTCTGCTGGAAGATGAACAAGCCCAAGCGTGTCTGAGTTGGGTTGGGTTGGGTTGGGTTGAGTTACATAGACTGGAAGCCTCCAGGCAACTCTGCATAAGTTGATTTATGTTGAGGAAAGTGGGTGGCAGAAAGGAGGTTGCCTGGAGGATAGATGTGGATTGGTGACAGCAGCTTGGGCCCTCCTGGAGTGGCAGTGGGAGAGGTGGATAAGAGAGGTGCTCAAACCAGGATTTGAGTCCCCACCCTTGCCACATGACCTTGACCAGTTTACTTGACCCTAAGGCTCACATAGCACCTCTGTCTAGGATGACCATGACAATGAATGAGCTAAGGCATATAATGTTCTCAGAGGAGTGCCTGACAGCACAAGACACATAGATCCATATGATGCCGGCCCTGATATCACTTCCCCTACGTTAAACCCAGCATATATGGGGTTAAAACCAAAAGCACTCATCCCCCTTTCCCTGCTTTCCCTAAGTTACATTCATATGCAAATATGGGTTTCTTTAACCTTTGTATCCCTAAACTTCACAAGGTAAGTAGAAGTTAAGTTTTGGCTAGTTGTGGGTCCTTTGAAGTTTTGTTCCAGGGAAACTGATATCCAGAGAATACCAAGAAGCTGAAGCTTCCCAGACCCCAGCTCCTTGGCTTCCTGGTGCCAGAATCCACCACCCATCACGGAGGCAGACAATAAAGGACACCCACCTGCGGATTTCCTTATCTCACCAGCCTCCTCCCTGTGAGCAGCCGCACAAGGCAAAACGCAGGCTGATGGGAAGGCGCCAACCTGCAAAGCCACAGCTCGCCCTCCCCTATCTAAAACCTTATAAACTTTGTAATCGTTAACGGGCAGCAGTTTCCTTCTTCCCCCCAGGACCCAATTTCTGGTAATGCAGAAAGATTGATGGAGGGAGTGCAGGACCTCCTGCTACAGATAGAGATAACAGCTGGCTCGGTGCCAGAACGTCTGGGACCCTCACATAATTGCCTCACCAGATGTTTGCAGTCATGTAGACAGCACATTCTTTCCCATGGATTCCCATTTAAAAACCCTAGCTGCTAACACTTCAGGAGGACAGTGGGTTTTGAGGCACTAGCCTGCCATGTCCTCATTTGCTAGCAAATTAAAAACTACTCTCACAGGGCCGGCCCCGTGGCTTAGCGGTTAAGTGCGCGTGCTCCGCTACTGGAGGCCCAGGTTCAGATCCGGGTGCGCACTAACGCACCGCCTGTCCGGCCAAGCTGAGGCGGCGTCCCACATAGAGCAACTAGAAAGATGTGCAACTGTGACATGCAACTATCTACTGGGGCTTTGGGGAGAAAAAGGGGAAAAAAAGGAGGAGGATTGGCAATAGATGTTAGCTCAGGGCTGGTCTTCCTCCAAAAAAAAAAAAAACTACTCTTTCTTTTCCTCAATCCCTTGTCATTGTGTTCATTTACTCGGCTACAGTGATACGGTCCGGGTTCTCGGCAACACATAGAGTTATTGCTGCTGCTGTTATTATTTATTTTTATTATCATTATTCTATATCTGGGTCCCAGGGACCCATGACTAAGACCTTTAGAGGAAGCAGCTGTCCCAGAACCCAAAGAAGGTGGGGGTTGGGGGGTAGTGGGCTGTTTTCCCAGGTCCCCAGCTGGCAGCCTGAGAGCCTGATTCAGCCCCCAGGACCTTGTGTTTGGCACAGCCTGCTTAAAAGCATTTTCAAGGGCCATTAGTTGGGGCATGCAGACCCCATTCTCACTGTCATGTCCCGTGGGGCTGCTGCCATAATCACTCACGGTCCCTGCCTGCTCTCCCAGGCTCTCGAGGCCATGGAAGCACCAAGAAACAGCACCTTGGCTGGAAATCAGCATCTCCCTGAGGTCTCAGCAGCCTAGATGTCTTGAGGGTGGTGGATGGCAACTCCAGAGCCAGAGCAGGACACAAGGGCTGTGTGTGAGCCCACATGAGACTTACCAGGGACAGTGCTTGTATATAACTGTAGGCACCTTGAGAAGAGGCTGTGAGTCTGGTGTGAAACAGGCAGGGGAAGAAGGCAGGGAAAAGTCAGGCATTTCCATTAATAGGACTCTGTATATATCCATAGGCTGAGGAGCTCGCGTGTTCCTTGCAGGGTTGTTGGAAGGTAAGAAATGATCGCCGTGAAGTGCCTGGCACAGGACCTGGCCAATAGCCACTGTTGTCAGTGGGTGGAGGCCGTTCCCCCTCATCTTGCTGCTGTCATTGTCCCACTGAGCCCGGCACCGCCTGGGGTTCAGGGCATGCAGTAGGGGACCAATGGCAGAGTCTTACCTGGAAAGACCTCTCTGATGAGCTTGGTCAGGCGTTCCACAATTTCCAGCACGGCCGCCTCTCCCAGGTTCTCGTTGGGCACATGAGGGGTGTCATCGCTGCAAAACACCATCAAGCTAGTTTGGTGCCGGCAGCCCGGGAAGGGGTACGAGAAAAAAGAAGGGATGGCTCTGCTGTGAGAAAAGAGGCTCTGGAACTGGGCCTCGGACGCCCACTGAGGGGGAATGGCCAGGCTGGAGTGGGGAGTCACAGAGGACAGAGTTCAAACCTGGGCTCTGCCATTTACCTGCTGTGGGTCCCTGGGCTTGTTGTTTAACCTCTCTGAGCCTCCATTAGCTCATCTGTAATATAGGGATAATAATGGAACCAAGCCATAGGGCATTTGTGAGACTTCAATAGAGGGATAAAATTATATATATAAAATGTAGAATAGTAGCTGCTGGGTGGTAATTAATATTATTTTTTAGAGAGGGAAGCTCTGGGGTTCCAATCCCATCTGCAAGCCCCCAGGGAGCTCGGGCAGAGAAGCCATCTCTGAGTTCTGCTCCTTTCCCCAAGGGTTCTAAGGAGTTCGGAGCTGGCTTCAGAGTATAGAGTTCAGACCTACTCTCGGGAAGGTTCGGGACCTGCCCCAGGACCATTTAGTCCCCTGTTCGACTGAGCTAAATTCCTGGATCTACCTTAGAAATGAGCAGCAAGGTGGGGACAGGGGAGGAGGATGGGAGAAGGCGGAGTTTGGGAACGGTAGGAGCCCCAACAATCTAAAGCCGGAGGACTCAGCCGCTGCCCAGGTAATCCCCAGAGAAGTTAATTAACTTAATAGTGCTGACGCTGCTCCTAGCAGCTCACACTGGCCTGCTCTGTGCCAGGTACTTTCTGTGCATTGTACCCGTATCCACTAATTTATTCTTCTTAATAACCCTACAACATAGGGTCTATTGTTAGTCCTATTTGATAGGTAAAGAAACCAAGGCACAGAAAGGCCTGGATGGAGAGGAAGTCCGGGGGAACCCTGGGCTGGGGGAAGAATTCTGCCTACGTGTACACAGCTAGAAAGCGGTGGGGCCAGGGTTTGAGTCCAGAGTCTATGCTCACACCCATTACGTCCTACTGCATCTCTGATGCCCTCATGAGGGCAGCAGGAGGAGCCTTTCAGCTCTGTCTCCCCCGCCCCAAGGACAGGCCAGGAATCAAAAGACATTAGAACAAAATTGTATTTTTTTTTTTCTAGTTTGGAGGATCTAATTCTGTCTGATAGAAAACACATCCAATTTCTACAGGTTACCCCCTAAAGGTTGGAACTCTCCCAGAGAAGTCTAATTTCTTAGAAATTGAAGAATTATAAAGGGCCTAGAGGTCATCTTGTGTAATCCATACATCTCTGCAAGGTCCCAAAGACTTCCCAGAAAAACCATGCTTCTGTTAAAGGATCATGAATTTCCCAAAGTGGTCTCCTTTCCCAGAGGGATCACATCTTTCAGAATGTTACACATTTCTCCAAGGTCCCCTCCTCAGAGAATTCAGAGGCTCCCCCAGCAAGAACTCTCGCGGGAGCAGGAGGCCAGCTTCATGGCCTAAAGCTCACTGTCTTCTTAGATTGATTCCTGAGCCCAGGGAAGCCAGAGCTGCCCAGGCCCCTCCTGAGAAACTGTCACATTTCTTAAGTGTCTAGCCCTGCCCCTCCCCCTGCTGACCACAGGGTCTATCTGAGGGTCATTTCTGGCCACTCCCATGTCACCCTGAGGGACAGCTGGGGGCCCCGTGGGTTTGAGCCTGCCTTATACAAGTGTCCACTGCGGCTGGAAGAGGGAGCAAGAACGCAGAGCTTCTGCCAGCCTACCTCATCAGCTCCCTGGTTCACCACTTCCCTCAGGAAGTCTTCCCCAGTCCTGCCAGAGGGAGTCAGGGGTCCTGTGAGGTTCCCACATCCCCCCTTGACCCTCTCTCCTCGCTGGGGTATCGTGGTCAGTGGACTTGTCTGTGTTGCCCACAAGACCGTGGGCTCCTTGAAGGCGAGTCTGGGTCCCTATTATCTCAGTTCCCCAGTGTCTACCCCGGGCTGAGCACAAGACAGGCTGACCTACTGTGGGGGAGGGGACCTTGAGTGACAAGGACGGCGAGTGCTGAGGAAAGTTGGAGGACTTATGGCAGCATCCCTGGATGAGAAGCAGAAATGGAGTCTCTGTGGCTGAGCGGAAATCACCCCTTGAGCTGTCCCCATGCAGAACAGTGCCCTGGACCAGAGCAGCCCAAGAGTGGCCAGCAGCTGACCAGGACCCTTGGTCCCGATGCTGGACCACTTTCAGCCCTCCTACCTTCTTCCCTTCCTGCATTTGGATCTCTAGGGCTTGGAGTCCCTAACCCCCAGTGGGAGTGGCTCCAGTGTTCATCCCCCAACTTAAAACCCAGGAGTTTTCCACATGCCCAGACAGGCCACGACCATGTCTCCATCCTCAGAGACAGCTGTGTTCTGCTGAGGCCGGGAGACACGGAGATGGAGGGCACAGACTTTGGAATCAGCCAGGCCCAGGGTCCCTTGGGCAAGCTGCGTCCTTTGAGCTTCAGGTTCATCCTCTCTAAAACAGGGCTGGTGTGAGGACTAAAGGAGATGGGGTGGGACAGGTGCCAGGCTGGCAGGTGGCACACAGCAGTGGCCCGGCGCAAGGCAGCTGTTGTGACTGCTCTCACCCAGTCCAGAGGATGAAGTCCGGCTTTGGCTCGATCTCCTTCATGGCGTAGATGGAGGAGTTGATGAGGACCCAGGGAGAATCACAGAGGTAGTCACCCCAGGGGCCTGCGTTGGGCACCGGCTGGGAGCCGGCTGATGGGCACACCTTGAGGGGGTCTTCGGAGACCTTGTAGTCAGGGTCCAAGTGCAGGTCAGAGATGTGCCAGAACTTTCCTGCAGGGGAAAGGAGACCCTCCTCAGTGCTGGGCCCTCCCTGAGCCTGGATGGAGAGGAAGTCCGGGGGAACCCTGGGCTGGGGGAGGGGAGGATGCACGGGTGAAAGGAAGTTTTCTCCGAATGCTGGGTCCAGAGAAAAAGGGCCACAGGTCTGGCTTTGCCTAGGGAGGCACTGAGCAGAGCAGAGAACAGGCTTGGCTCTGTCCCTGCCCTGTGACCGTTGACAAGGCCCTTACCATCTCCCCATCTCAGTGTCCTGGCAGCAACATGAGGTATTGGGCTGCATGACCCTCAAGAACTTTTGGGAGTTCTAAGCAGAGTGCTTGTTTTAAAGCCAAGGTGGGAGAGTGTCGGCATTAAGCACTCAGCCTCTGGAGCTACATACTAGCTGTGTGACCTTGGGTGAGTTGCTTCACCTCTCTGAGCCCGTAACTAGAGTCAGACCTTATCATGCTCCAGGGAAATACATACAAAAATCTCACCTGGGAGAACGTACACACCAGATGCGTTGTAAGATCTTGCTAGTTAATACCAGCAAAAACCTCAGTTATATGTGTGGAAATGTTTAAGAGTGCTAGACCAGAAAAGAAGGAATGTAATATCAGATTGGGCCGCATTTCTCACGTGGGTGTACTTATTAGTGATTCTGGATGCAGGGTGGCAGCCCGAGCAGCTAGGGGTGGTCCTGTTTGCTGAAGTGGTTGACCAAAACCTGGTCTCAGCTCCAAACCAGGAAGGCCGAAATGCTAAAAACCTCTGTAAAACAGAGAAGGGAATGGAAAGCAACAGGCCCCGTGGAGTGGGTTTATCATCTGCACCTGGCACAGGGCCCGGTATAAGACATTCCAATGATGCTTATTGAAGAGAGTTGAACAGGTTCGGCCTCTGCCCTCAATCCTGTGTTTCTGGCTAAGACGGGGTGAGGCCTGGGATTTCCTCACCCTTCACCATCGCTGTCACTTCCTCCATTTCCTGAGTCACTCGGAGCCAATAGCCACCACCCACCCTACCCCAGGAAACCGGGCCTGGGTGTCCCAGCTTCTGTCACTTTCAGGGCACCACCCAAGTCACCTGACAGTCAGTGCGGCTCTAGGACAGGCCCAGAGGGAAAGTCTGGCCCCCAAGCCTCACTCCTTGATTTTTCCTCCCAGATGCTTCCAAGCCTTTGCCCACCTCTCCTGATCAAAACCTGGTCTCAGGAAAAGATCAGAAACTTGTTCACACTAAGGTGCAAATGGCTGCAAATATCCCCCCCACGGTTATTATAGAGTCATCTTCACCATAGCCAGGAGGCATTGATCATTATCCCCATTTTGCAGATAGGGAAACTAAGGTTCAGAGGTCAACCTGCCTGAGACACATGGTAAACAGTGGGGGTCCTGTGGTTCTGGATCCTCTCCCGGGAAGAAGTGATTGCTAAGGGGGTAAAACTAGTGCCTTTTTATTTCGGATATATCTTTTTGTAGACAGTCTATGCCTGCAGAGTCTTTGTTTATAATGGGGGGAGTTTAAACTTTTCACGCAAATTGCGATCACTAGGATGTTTGCAATTACTCCTACAGGGGCAAAATCCTAAGCCAGAGGAAAGAAACTAACTGCCCCATTTCAACCAGCGAAAGGGTGGAGTTGGTGGGCTTCCCAAGCCCCTGCACTGACTGTGGCTGGGTCACGCCTGCTTCGAGCCTGAGGCCAGGCTGGCCAGGTCGCATGCAGTGAGAGGCGCTTCGTCCCCTCTTCCTTCTCTCTGGCGTGCGGTCCCCTTGCTTCCTCTCAAGACCGGGCAGAGACCACTCCCCTGCCTCAAGTGGGCTTTCTCCACTAACCACGAACATCCAGCCGTTCTGCCCCTTTGACGTCAGCCCTCACACTGCTCAGTGAGCATTTCCCCACTTCTGAAACTCCTTGTCTGCTGACGGAAGCTCCAGTGTCAGCTGCCGGTTTGTCTCTTCGTTCCAGCCTGCCTGGAATTCCTAGTGACCTCTGTGTATGTGTGTGTGTCTCCCAAGGCCTGACTCCAGGAGAGACCAGGACAGAAGAAAGAATGGCACGGAGAACCAGGGGGCTCCACCTCCTTGGGCTCCAGTCTTCTCGTTGTGGAGGCGGATCACAGAGACCTCCTCTACCGCTCAGCCCGACTCGCCCCACTCATTGTCCTCACGGAGCCTCTTCCCCGTCTCCTCCACTACCTTCCCCAGCCTTCCCTATGTCATTGCATGGCTGCTTTCTCCTCTCATTCAGGCCTCAGCCCAAAGTTCACCACCTCAGAGAAGCCTTCCCTGATTACCTTTTCTCAAGTTCCACTTCCCCCAGTTTTATTTTCTTCAGACCACTCTCACATATGAAATGATCTTGTTGGCTTGCTTATCATCCATCTTCCCTACCTACAATGTCAGTTCCATGAGAGCACAAAGCCTGTCTTGTTCATCTCTGTCCTCAGCAACCAGAACAGTGTGTTGGATGGGAAAGATGCCCAGAGATATATTCAATGAATGAACAAGGCTGTGGGGAGGATGATTAGACTAGGAAGCACTCAAAGAATGTTAGCTAGGTGCCCGTAACATGCTTATCTCATTTCATCCCTGCAACTGTTCTCTAAGGTGGGATTCTTATGCCCATTTCACAGATTAGGAAACTGAGGCTCAAACTCTGACCTCTCTGACTCTACAGCTGAGACACAATATTGACTCAGAGCCCCCAGAAGGTGGCTTTTATAATACACATGTTACCCACCAAAGAATGGGAGCCACAGGCTTCTATGGAATTAGTTACAGACTGTGAGGAATTAAGCTCTAATCATCACGTCCTGGAGAAAGGGAGTGGGCATAAGGACCCTGGACAGGGAGGCAGGTTATCTGGTTTCTAATCTAGGCGCTTCCTTGTGTTTGCTGAGGACTCTGGGCAAGCCCACTGGCCTTGCTGAGCCTGTTTGACATCTGACCTGCTTGTCTGTGAACATCAAATAAGGTATTGAACCAGAGAGGGCCTGTAGAGAAGAATCTTAATGCTCCACTGTCCCTGGCAATTACCGCTGGGGCCGGAGCGAGACTGGGAGGGTGTGGCGAATCAGGCACTTTAACCCTTGATCCTTTAGACCAGGGCTTCTCAAACTTTATTGTGCAGATGCCTCACCTGGGGAATCCCGTTAAAATTAAAAGGCTTATATATTCATACTGCTTGAATCTTTTACAGTAAGAAAGGATTCGTGTATTTCCCTGAGTTTTAAGAAAACGTATACCAATCCTAGCTGTCATTATTATTCATTAGTTACTGAGGATATGAATAAATTTGGGATCAAGAACAGTGAGTAGCTGAGGGCACAGACCTGGGTTGGCATTCCACCTCTACCGCCCACTAGCTGTGTGAACGTGAACAACTTACTTGGTGTCTCAGTTCCCTCATCTGTAAAATAGAGGCAACAGCGCCCCCTACCTCTTGGGGTCATTGGGAGGGTTAAAATAAGATAATGCATAAGCACTCAGCAATGCAAAGCAGCAGTTACTCTGAATTTGGTCCCTGGGGGGTCCTGCAAGTCCCCCTTTCCCCAAGGAAGAGAGATGGGATGAGGGGCGAGTGGCTGCACCCTCTCGCTGCCTGCCCCAGGGTCCCCTCAGTGCTGTCCTCTGCAGGTAAAGAGCAGGTCCCGGGCCAGGACGTTTGAAGCAGAACAATGTGAAGACAGATCCTGTCTCCTCCTGGATGGTCTTTCTTGAGCGGAGGGCCTGTGGGCACAGCACACCCTCTAGTTTTAATTTTTTTTTTTTTTTTTAAAGATTTTATTTATTCATTTTTTTCCCCCCAAAGCCCCAGTAGATAGTTGTATGTCATAGGTTCACATCCTTCTAGTTGCTGTACGTGGGACTCGGCCTCAGGGTGGACGGAGAAGTGGTGCCTTGGGGCGTGCCCGGGATCCGAACCCGGGCCGCCAGCATCAGAGCGCGCGCACTTAACCGCTAAGCCACGGAGCCGGCCCTCTAGTTTTAATTTTGAGAGCTCAGCTCTGCTCCCTGTTCCTGGGCAGGCAAAACAGTCTCCTGGCCCCCCTCCTCCTTCATCGAAGGGGTTACCGGGCCCCCTTGTCCGTTGGGGACGACAGACACAGGGCCAGACCCTAGTAGCTTCGTAAGGCCCATGGAAACGTCTGAGACCTGAAAAAAATGGGTTGGCTCCAAAGTTTGGAAAAAAACTATGCCATCAAAATCAATAATTCATTTCAAAAGCAATATTAAAAATTTCATTAAAGATCATATGTAACGTGAGCTCCTTTTACTATGATTCATGACGAGGTGGGGAAAACTTGCAAAAATCATTCCTAGAGCCTAAGATCTTAAACTAGCCAAAAGGTGAGTTTGCTTATGGTGGGAGACAAGAGAAAGAAGGCAGGAAGACACCTGGCCTTTATTTAGCACCTACTGAATGCCAGATGCAGTGCCAAGCACTGTACCCGTGAGCCTTATGACAAAATTATGAGATGCAGGGCCGGCCCGGTGGCATAGTGGTTAAGTTCGCATGCTCCGCTTCAGTGGCCCAGGGTTCATAGGTTCGGATCCCAAGTACGGACCTACATACAGCTCATCCAGTCATGTTGTGGCAGCGTTCCACACACAAAATAGAGGAAGATTGGAACAGATGTTAGCTCAGGGACAATCTTCCTCACACACACACAAAAATTATGAAATGCATTCTATTATTGTACCCATTTCATAGATGAGAAAACTGAGCTAGTTAGCAGCAGATCTGTGACTCATATTGTGTCAGAACAGAAATGATTGCAGTGCACTTTACTCTGCCACTAGCCAGCAGTGTGACCTTAGATATAAAAAAAAATGGTCCCTTAAACTTTTACAGCACCTTACAATGTACATCTGTGATCTCACTTAACCATCATATTTGATCTCCCCTCTGCTATTATCCCTACTTTATAGATGGTGAAATAGAGGCTCAAGGTCACATAGATATTAAACATAGGATCTAGGTTTTCTGGCTTAAGGCAGCAGGTT